ATTTTATCGAAGGATAATATGATCCTTCTAAACCTTTAAACAAATAAAGTACCAATACTTCCTTTACCAAAGAATACCAAATTTACCAAAGAAAGTACTTGTTACATAATAAAAAAAATGTACATTTTCAATTCAGTTACAAACAAAAACGAAAGAAAACGTTTGTCTATAGGCTTTTGCTGTCAACACATTTATAACAACTTTACATTATTTAAGTAGGTAATTTGTCAAGTGACATTATTAAGTAACTGTTTTCAAAATAAAAAATTCATTCTTAGATATGTGTTTTGTATCTGGTGATATTACTGTTCCAAATATTTGTTTCCCTTTAATAAAAATACTAAATTATTCATAACCTCACAAGTAAGGGCACAAAGCCTTATAGATTTGTTTATCATTGAAGAAATATTTTCTAGCAGCTGGTTAGATGACTCCTTACATACAAATCTCTAACTATAAGTCAGAAAGCTATCACACAATAAGCCATCACATTTTACCACGTACACAACGTCCACTTTCACCACGTCCCTTTGGCGACAGGCAGATTTGTTTTTTAATTGTTATATATACCCAGGATTTAAAAATAAATACTATTTTCATATTAGAAAATTTCCGGTTTTCAAGGTTGTGTATTCACATTGGGTAACGAAATATTTCATGAACGAAATATCATTAATATCTCATAAGCCCTATTTAGAATAAGCAGTTAATTTCTTTATAACGTATTATATTATTTATAAACAAGGACGTTTTGGATGAAAATTATGGGTGTGATTATGGGTGATATGAGCGTATTGATAGGCAAATTGTGACTCATATTTCTAAATGTAAATTATCTCAAGAGGTAGAACTGACCTCTGACTCGCTAGAATAGAAACCCATCACATCAGGTTTTGTGGTTAGCTTTTTATTCCATATAAATATTGTTTGTAATATTTTATTTTTAACTCTATATACATACTTAAAGTAAATATTGATTGTCTGTTAGTTGTATATCTGTTTATGAAGAAAGCCCGCTACTGTGTTATAATAAACTCTAGTGTTTAAGTAAGGTTGTATAAGTTTTGTAACCGAATTCCCAACTCCATTGATCAAAAGGGTGAAGCCCTTGGATGCGCAAAATCAATGGTGGGATTCCGGCACAATATTGCTGAGGTGGAGGACCAACAATGACAACACAAGAGCTGGCTGGACACAAATATAAATTTATTCATTTCAATATATATATATAAATGCAACAATAATAAATAACAATAATAAATAAGACATTGCCCTAGCCAAGATATAATAATTAAAGCTTTAAAAATATTTTAAAATTTCTTTAGTTAAAAAAAAATTTAATTTAAAATGGAAATTCAAGTTAGGCTTAAGTGACATTTTGTAAAAACATTTAGTGTACTATCTCAAACAAATTTAAAACAAGTTAGCTTAGGTGGCCACCTTATAAAAAGTCATTTAAGAACCATTAATTTAATACCTTTAGTCCTAGGCCTACATTAAAATAAATAATTTTTACATCTAAACGAACATGAAAAACATTTACACATATCAACAAATGTGGTCGCCTCGCAAAGCCTAATAATTATTTCCAAGCGGTTAAAATTAACCGTCAAGGGCAAAAAAGGTTTTACCCTCAATCAAGGGGTGTGAAACAGAATTAAAAGAAAAGGAATTTAAAATTTGAATAAAATATTAAGTAAGTAAATTTAGAGAGGAAAGACTAATTAGTTAAATTGCAGGTAAAAAGATTACAGATTTTTGTTATATAAGTTAAATAAAAAGCCTATGTTGAGTGAGATTTCTTCATGATGGATGAGACTCTCCAAATGGGCTGGACTGACCTGACCGTAAAACCTTGCTGGCATCCAGGTGAGTTAGCAGGAAGTAGAAGTAGGCCGAGAACATGGTGGCCGCTTCCCAGACACTGCAGCACGGTATTAGGCCGGAGTAGACATAGGCCTAGCTGTGTAGGTATCGCCATCAGTGGGTGGTGGTGCACAGTCAGTGGTGCGGCGCGGTCCCATCCGCCTGGGAGAAGGCTCATCGTGGTGCAGTTGTTAGCATTCTAATGGTGGCAGGTTTCAAGTGGAGTCGCCGACCCTGATACAAAGTATAGATCACTGACCTGGCCTAATTAAGGCTAACATGTCTCAGAGTCCATATATTTAGTTGGCACTAGGTATGAATAAATCAAAAGAGCGTAAAACATTCTCTTTACCTGCAGTCAGCGACCACATTTTTACAAAAGCTGTTCTAGTGTCTAGCCTATTCAAACATTGTTTTCTAGAGAATAGTTACATGATCTCACATGAATGAAAATGCATGAATGTGCTTGCTTACTATTCACAAGTTTAAGAACAAACAAAACGGATATTTAAGTTATTATCTTGGCTAGGCTACTGTAATTGACCAGAGCAAAAATTTAGGCTAGCAAAAGTTACTAGCACAAACAGAATTATAACTAGCCTAGAAGCTTTTAACATGATTGGGTCCAGACCAGCTCACAGTTAAACACAAAAAATTACACAAAATGACTCGAAATGACACAGAAATGATGTTAACACTTTAACTTGGTCTTTTAACCTTAACATGAAAATTGGCTCAACCTTTAATATCACTTGTACTGATCAAGTTAACTCAACGAGGCATGCACATTGTGTTATCTAGTGGACTCGAAACTCTCAGAAAACAGTACAATAAACATCAAACTGGCTCTAAAAAAACACTTCTGAACAATAGTGAAACAGTGAAAAATGAAACAAAATGAAATAAGCGAGGACTAGGCCTGGCGAATTCAACTTACCCGTGGTATGGAAACTCTACTCGCAGAAATGCTCCATACTGAGCTGTGTGAAAGGGATCTATGAAAGTAAAAACTTCAGGGTTCACAAAAGAAAACTCTTCCGGAAGAAAACCCCGTAGTTTTGGAACAATCTCAAACCCAAAGTCTGAGAAAACGGGAGCCACAAAGTCACCCGAACGAAACGTCCAGCAGACGCAGCCAGTAGTACCAACCACGCAACAAATTAAACAGTGCCGTAGAGCGTTGAGCACATACACACGGCACAACCTCCCCCACGAAAACCTAACCTCCCGGGGCAACAACAGAAAACCAGGTCAACGACTCTGTCTTCTGGAAGGAAAACTCACTTCCAGGGGATAATTTTGCTGGGCCCAGCAATGGCAAAGAAACAAATTCGACACAACAGAGCAGTTCACATTCCTACACTGCAGGGTGATCAGGCCTACAGGGCAGGAACCTATCCTAACCTATCCTAAGATCTGGTTGTCCCCGAAAAGCCTTCAATTGGGAGATGTGGGCCTTTCTGAAAATGACCCCTGTGTCGGGGTGAGCAAGCCTCACGGTGACAGGAGACAAAAATTTCACGATTTTGTGTGGACCAGACCACCGATAACACAACTTCGCAGCACGCTTGTCTGCAGCACAACTGATTGGATGAGTTTGACAAAACACTAAATCACCAACCTTGAAAGGATTTGCCTTGCGTCCTTCATTGTACCGTTTCCGCACCCTTTCCCTGCTGGCAATGAGATTTCTCTTAGCAGCGTCCCATGACTTTCGGACGTCACTAACGCCAGGAACAGGTAACAACTCCGCCACTCCCCAAAAATTTGAGAGTGGAGAAGAGGGTGGGTAACCAAGGAACAATTCGAAAGGCACGGCTTTGTGACTCTCATGCCGGGCAGAGTTGAAAGCCAACTGGAGCCACTCAAGTGACTCGTCCGAAGTGGTTTGTTTTTCTGCATGGTAGGCAATCAACGCAGCCTTCAGGCTGCGATTGAAACGCTCGGCATGAGAAGGTTGGGGATAATACGGAGATGTGGTGATATGTTCCACCCCAAGTCCGAAACAAAAACGGTGGAACTCCTTTGAGGTGAATTGAGGACCATTGTCAGTGACAAGTTGGGTGGGAACGCCAAAGTTTTGGAACAGACGGCTCTTCAAAGCCTTGAGGGTGAGGCTGGTGGTCGCTTGACGGAGGGGAAACAACCAACAAAATTTCAAGAAGGCGTCAACGCAAACGAGTAGGTAGGTGTTACCTGACCTGCTACGTGGGAACGGGCCCACATAGTCGATGAAAACCTTCTCAAAGGGTCGGCTGGCGACCTCCGAGGCCAACAGACCAAGTTCGGAGTTTTGTGCGGGCTTGCTTAGACAACAAAGCTTGCAAGCTCTCACCCTTTCGGCAATGTCTCTGTCCATTCCCTTCCAAATGAACTCCTTGCGGATTTTCGCAATGGTTTTGTGAATGCCCAGGTGCCCACCTACAGGAGAAGAATGGAAGTAGGCAAACACCATGGGAACCAAAGCACAAGGGAGAACAATGCGGGTACCGCCTCCATACCTGGGACGACAACAGAGGACTCCCTTGGAGAGGGAGTACGGGGGCTTTGGGGTGCCAGACTCGATGCCTTGCATGAGGGGACCGAGCTCGGGATCAGAACGCTGGTGCGGAGCAATGTCTCCAAACGCCAGGGGAAACTCCAACAGCACCGCACCACAGCTGGGATTTTCTCCAGGTGTGGGAGCGTCGTGATACATCCGAGACAAGGGATCGGCGATGATGTTCTGCGTACCCCGCACATGCTGTACCTTAAATTTTAAGGCAGAAATTTTGACAACCCAACGCCCTATCTTACCAAGCTGGCGAGGGTGCGCCAGCAGCCAAGAAAGAGCCTGGTTGTTAAAAGTCAAAAATGGAAAGAGAAATAGACTAGATAATGAGCAGAAAATAATTTAATTATTCACAAATGAAAAGTTACTCAATCATAGTAAAATGCTACCAAACAATTATTTCTATTTTCAACATAACAATTCATTCCAAAATCATATGTCTCAAAATTATAAAAGTTCATATTTTCATAGCAGCTGGAAAAGACAATACAAAATATAAACCATAGATTATTTAAGTGAAATGTTTGTATACTATATCCAACATTCTCCCACCTTTTGACTTGCAAAGTCAAAATATTAATTATTAATCCAGGTATCTTCGTGGGGGTATAATTTTTCTTCCTCTTTGTGTGTAAACAGGTTGATCATGTTCACGACCAACACCTTCAGCTACTTGTTCATCTTCCATTTCGAATGTTTCATTACCATCTTGATTGTCTTTCTGCTGGACCAATTCAAGTGGAAACACATGTTGTATGGGTCTCAGCACTGTTCCTTTTGATGTTTTCATTTCCACAAGACGTATGTTGCCATCTTTTCCAGGAAGTATCTTCTCAATCTTCGCCAAAGGCCAGTCCATCCGTTTGGTATTGTCGCTTCCAAGTAAAACAATTTCTCCAACTTGCACTTGACGAGATTTCTTCTTCTTCGAATGTAACACCAATTGACTTAAATATTCGCTTCTAAATCTTTGTTCAAGATCTTCTTTTAATTTTAATTTAAAGTTCCAACGTCGAGACAAATTTGTGTAGTTGATCTGCTCCAAATCAATAACTCCATACTCCTTCGTACCATTCAAAAACATAGCTGGCGTCAAAACTTCCATGTCATGGCTGTCTTCTGAAATGTAAGTCAAGGGTCTACTATTTATGACAGATTCACAACTGCACAAAACGGTCAAAAATTCTTCATAAGTCAAACTAGCTCTTCCTAAGACTGTGCGAAGAAGCTGTTTCAATAGTCTTATGAGTCTTTCCCACCAGCCTCCCAATCTGACGACTTTATCAAATCTGTAGAAATATCTGTAATACCAACAATCTGGTTCAGGTTTTGAATTAATCAGAATCTTTGTAGTTGATTTGATCTTCCTAAGTTCAGAATTTACTTCTTTCTCATCACAATCATCACTGAAGTTTTGGTTAGGCCACAAGTTTGATGAGTTTCTTAGCCATTGTGGTCCCTCCCACCATTTCGACTCTACTAGCTGCTTAGGAGAACATCCACGTGACGGCAAATCAGCTGGATTCATATGGCCTGGAACATGATTCCATGATTCGATGCTACTAAGGGATCTTATTTCCTTTACTCGGTTCCAAACAAACACTCCCCAGTAATCTTCTCGACGAATCCATGACAAAACGGTGGTTGAGTTGGTCCAATAAAATGTTTTGACATTTTCAAATTCCAAACTCTTTAAGACGTTGTCAGTTAGACGAGCGCCAATGGTAGCCGCCAATAACTCCAGTCGAGGAATAGTCATCTTCTTGACAGGTGTAACTCTACTCTTCGCTTGAACTAATTGAACTGTTACAAGTCCATTAGATTCACCCCTCAGGAAAACAGCGGCCGCATAAGCGTCCTGGCTTGCATCACAAAAACAGTGAACTGTCCAAGAAATATTCCCTCCGATTTCATTTCCAAAATATCTTGGAATTTTCAAATTTGAAAAAATCTCAAGTTGCTTTGCCCAATCTAAAAACAAAAGTTTTATTTCTTCTGAAACCTTGTCATCCCATCCAATTTTACTTTCCCACGTTTTCTGCAGCAATATCTTAGGCAAGAGTGTAGCAGGACAAGTTATACCTATGGGGTCAAACAACTTGTGAGCAAAAGACAAAATAGATCTCTTTGTGACTATTTCAGGCTCTTTAAACTCAAAGTTTTCAAAATTCAACTCAATCATGTCAGTATTTTTGTTCCAATTTAAACCTAAGATAGGTGTCAAGGTAGAATCATTTTTGAAACTCTGAATGTCTGTGCACTCCCAACTCCGAAGACAGAATCTAGCATCTTTCATTACAGAAGTCGCTTGATCTACAAATAGATTCAAATCTGTTAAGTCATCAAAACTTGCCATACAGTTATCTACATAGAAACTTCTCGACAGTGTCTCTACTACTTTTCTTGAGTAGTTTAACGATCCAGAATCTATCAAGTCTAATGTTTTTTCTAAATGAAGTTTTATTACTGCACTTAGCATAAATGGGCTACAGGTAACTCCAAAGACCACTCTAGCGTGTCTGTAAACAACCAATTGACCATCTTCATTAATCCACAAAAAACGAAGAAAATCTCTATCATCCGTATGTACACCAATCTGAAGAAAAGCCTTCTCGATGTCAGCAACAACTCCATATCTGTGTAGTCTAAAACGATTTAATATGGACGGAATCAATTCAATTAGATTGTCCCCTTTTTCTAGACAATCGTTCAACGAGGGCTGATTCTTTTCTTTAGCGGATGCATCAAATACAGGTCTCAATTTCGTGGTAAGACTGTTTTCTTTTATCACATGTCGATGCGGTAGGTAGTGACCAATTTCCAAATCAGCATCGTTAACCTTCTCTATGATACCTAATTCCTCCCAGTCAGACAACACCTGTTGATATGAACTAAGATATCCACTAGAATTAAGTTTATTTGTAAGATTACTGAGTCTCTTCTGTGCTACTTTTGAATTAGTAGGTAACGGCGGGTGATCATCAACCCATGGCAATTTGACCTGATATCTGCCATCATTTTCCACTGAAACAGATTCTACAAAATGTTCCATTGTTCTACTTTTAACTGAAGATTCACTCTTGACCTCCACTGGATCCTTGATTCCTAAAACATCCAAACTCCACAAATCTGAAATTGATTTATTATCAATAGGGGAAAGTAAAGAAATTACTGCCATAGAACTGGACCTGTCATTCCCTTCAACTGTAGTTCTTCCCATTAAAGTCCAGCCCAACAAAGTGTGCATCGCAACTAACCCGTTGGAAAGCAGATATCGTTTCTCAGTGTAAAGTTTCCCGGCAACGTCTGCACCTATCAGAACTTCAATAGGCCCGTCTCCATCTGTTATATTAATTCCCAGTGTTCCAAGCTCTATGGACCAAGGACCAGGCTTAACTGTTGTAACATCGTTACAAATTATATCTTGATCAAGAACGTCAAAATTGCAGGCATAGCTGTTATTTAAGTCACTTAGTCTAACCTTATAACACGCATGTTCAATTGTTTCAGTACTAGTGCCACCAAATAAAGCATGAGCTAGCTTCTCCCTTCTGACTATGTCGTAGCCAAATTCCTTTGCTGTATTTTTCAAAATATAAGATCGCTGTGATCCCGTATCTATTAAAGCACGTGCTGTTCGCTCTCGATTTTGGTTTCTAATTTTTACTAGAAAGGTTTGTAAAAACACTTCTGTGTGAACATTGTTTGCTAGAGAACTTTCTTTGCCTGGTTGTTCACTCAATGAACTTCCTTTTGCATCAGATGCCCTACACATAACAGCAGTGTGCCTCTTTCCACAGATGGGACATTTTACTCTAACTTTACATTGCACACTCCTATGACCATACTTTAAGCAAGTAAAGCAACAACCATTTTTCCCAACGATTTTCACCTTCTCATCTACTGTCAATTTACTGTCTTTACAGTTTTCAGCTAAGTGGTTAGAACCACAAAACATACATTTAACGTCTTTAGTATTTAACTTATCAGACTTCGTTGGGTAAACTAAACCAGCAGCTGTCGGCATCATTTCAGTATGTCTGGCGTAACTAGGCTTAGGTCGAAATACAGTAGATTTACTTACTTTAGGCTGTAGGTTAGGTTGCTTACTATTTTCAAAACCAGATGCGGCTAGAGTAATCCTTTCCTCGTTAGCAACCTCCTTTTGCAGAAACTTCATCAAACCATCAAGTCTATTAAGTTCAGCATCAACTTCATAGCCGGAGTGACGCTGCCAAGCTCTCAACAGTTCCTCGGGCAAACAAGACTCTATAAGAGGATATAACATAGCAGAACATTTGTCAGTTGTTACTCCTAATGTCTCCAATGCTCTTAGTTGGGTTTCCAGTTTATCGTAAATGCAAGAAACTTCTACCTTACTGTTTAAATTACTCAGCACTAACTTCAAAAGCTCTCTAATATACACTTCTATGAGAAGGTCATCTCTACCAAAACGACTTTTAAGACTTTGCAAAGCTTTTGAATAGTTCTCAGCGGTAGCAGGATAACTTTCGACCAGCTGACGAGCCCTAGAATTAGCTATAGTAGCCTGCACAAGATAATGATATTTATCAATATCGTCAATATTCTCGTCATCATCTATTCTTTTGAATTGTGCCCAAAAAGGTAACCAATCCTTCAAATCCCCGCTAAACTTTGTGAATTCAATAGTAGGTAGCTTCAGCTTAGTCCTAACAGCAGTAGATTTACTCATTACAGATCCATTGGACTCAGGTGAAGTAGACCCAGGCCTAATCAATCTACTCTGTACAGCTAAACTAATTCGATTAAACTTCTCTACATATTCATCTGCTAGCCTAACTTCTTCATTTAACTCTTCTTCATCTGCTTCAGAATCAAGTAAGAAATCTAAAATTTCCCTGTCCAAAGTTTTTAGTTCTTCTATCTTACCTTCCAGAGAGCTCAATTTACCCTTTATATTGTGTAGGTCTTGCTCATCTTTGCATAGCTCCTCATTTATCCCATTATAAATTCTGGTAAATGCTGTTCTGAAGGTTTTTCTTAGTTTCCTATTTCTTTCCATTATCTCAATAGTGACTATCTTGTTAAGAACTCATACAGTCCTGTCACGGTCGCCAAATGTTAAAAGTCAAAAATGGAAAGAGAAATAGACTAGATAATGAGCAGAAAATAATTTAATTATTCACAAAAGAAAAGTTACTCAATCATAGTAAAATGCTACCAAACAATTATTTCTATTTTCAACATAACAATTCATTCCAAAATCATATGTCTCAAAATTATAAAAGTTCATATTTTCATAGCAGCTGGAAAAGACAATACAAAATATAAACCATAGATTATTTAAGTGAAATGTTTGTATACTATATCCAACACTGGTTGTCTGTCTCAAGGAGAAACTCGGCATGTTCAAGGAAACGCCGGAACTTGTCAACGCCAAACACCACCGCTAAGCACTCCAGTTCATAGACAGACGAAGCTTTCTTTTCTGAAGGTGTAAGGGTGCGTGACGCAAACGCAATTGGTTGTCTGACACCATCAATTTCCTGGGAAAGCACCGCGGTGCTTTTTGCTGAGCCCCAATGGCACAGGAGGAGGCGTCCGTCTGTAAAACAAACGGCCGAGATAAATCAGGCATCCTGAGCACAGGTGGCTGCATGATAGCCTCCTTGAGACGCTCAAAAGCCGACTGCTGCGCATCTCCCCATTCGAACCTTGCTCCCTTCTTTCTGAGCGCATTGAGAGGAGCAGCAATTTCAGCAACATTGGGGATGAAACGGCGATAGAAATTCACCATCCCCACAAAACGAGCTACACACTTTGCGTCCCTAGGGGCGGGGAAATCCCGAATACCTTGTGTCCGGGCTGGATCAATGCGTATTCCTCTGGAAGAAACCATATGCCCCAAAAAGGAAATTTCATTCTGGGCAAAAGTTACCTTCTCAGGGTTTACTGTGAGTCCAGCCTGTTTGAGCCTAGTCAACACGTCCTCAATGTGACGCAAATGATCCTCAAAAGTTTCACTGTACACCAACAAATCATCGAGGTAATTGAAAACAAACTTGAACTTGACATCATGGAAAATTGAGTCCAACAGACGGGTCAGTGTTTGAGCTCCTACGGCAATTCCCATAGGCACCCGCGTGAACTGATAGAGATTCCAGGGAACACAAAAACTTGTCAAATGTCTCGACTCTTTCTTTAGGGGAATTTGGTGATAGGCCTGATTGAGGTCGAACACAGTGAAAAACTTGGCCTTTCCAAACCAGTCAAAGGCAGAGTGGAGATCCGGTAAAGGCACACTGTCAATCTCAATTTTGGCATTCAACCTCCGGTAGTCAAGAACCATGCGAGACTTTCCATTTGGTTTTGGGACCAAGAAAGCCGCACTTGAGTATTGAGATCTAGAGGGTTCATTGACCCCATCCTTCAACAGATCATCAATTATGGCTCTGAGAGCTTCCATTTTTGGAGGCACCAACTTGTAAGGTTGACTGCGCACCGGTGTGTTGTCATTGAGCCGGATCTCGTACTCCATCAAGGTGGTCTGGCCAAGTCGCGAAGTGAGAACCTCAGGGAAACGAGAACACAACTTCTGCAAGGCCTCTCTTCGATTCGGCGCCAAATGTTCAAAGGGTTCAGGCTTCTCTTTGTTTTTGGGCCCTTCTTCTAGTGCTACTTCCTTGACCATGGCACGCCCATTGGGCCCTGCCAAAGGCACAAGCACGTTGCGCTTGAGCTTGAAATAGCAGCACTCACGTTGCAAATCTACAATCAAACCGGTTTTCTTCAAAAAATTTGCCCCTAAAATACAATCTATCCCCAAATCCTTGGACACCAAAAATTCCCAAATCCAAGAAAATCCCTCAATTTTGAACTTGAAAGCCACAGACAACTGAACTTCCATGGGAGCATTACTTGCTGTGAGACAAGTAATAAAAACCTCCCGAATTCTTCTGATGGCGCCAGATTCAAGCAAAATCTGATGAAAACCCGAGGAAATGAGACTCACAGCCGCCCCAGAGTCTACCAGAGCAGGGAACATGAAATCTCCAACAGTGACGAAAATGTGAGGACAAACGCTTGTGGGAGCACGGATGCCAAGAGGCGCGACACCCACTAAGCCCTTGGCTAGAGGTTCGCCAGGCGGAACAGATCCAGGCAGCTGAGGTGGTGGAGAGCGGGGGTTTACCGAGGCAAACCCCCGGCATCCCCGTTTTTTGGAACGGCGGGAGCTTGTTGCCGACAAAAACGGCGGATGTGACCACGTTGTCCACACCCAAAACATATGAGAACAGGACGACGGGGCACATCTTCGCTTCCCATATAGACCTGACCCACCAGAGCACGAGGCGTGCGCTGGTTGGCCTCCCTAGTCACTTCCACCCTACTTTGGTCGATGAGCTGCACATTTCTGGCGGTGACAACCAGCTGGTCGAGCTCCGCAAATGTGACAGGTTTAGAACAAAACACCAGGCGGGAACGCTCTTCCGGTGTTATCCCGTCCAGAATGACCTGAACCACCTCCTCCTCACGGAGGTCCAAACGCAACACACGACTGGCACTGCGAACCTCTGTGCAATAGGCAGCGAGGCTTTCACGAAGCCCTTGCAACCTATAAAACATCTGCATTTTGAGGTCCTCACGCATCCTCCCAGGGACAAAAGTTTGAAGCGTTTGCCTGTGAAATTACTCAAAATTTCCCTTCTTGGACAGAACCAGATTCAACAAACCAGAAAGTGGAGAACGGCAATATGGGATCAACAAACTGAGAAGCAGTGAGTCATCAACACCCGGAATTTCCCTAATTCGAAACAAATCTGCCAAACATTTCAACAATCTGTGGACTTCCAATCCATCAACATAAGGCAGAGCCTGCAAAAGAGGCGTCAAAGGGTTGGGAAAATTGTTGTACGAGGCAGAGGCCAAAGAGCCAGAACACTTGGAGGTGGGCTCGGTTTGTTGAGCCGGAGCGCACAGAATGGGAGAGCAAGAAGCTGGAGCCGGACCAACTTCGGTCGAAACCTCATTCTGACTGACCGGAGTAACCTCGGTCGCCACGTTCGGTTCTTCCGAAGTGCGTTGAGTTTTAGGGCCAAGGGCCGCTAACATCTCATCCAGGCTCCCAGAAACTTGTTTGAGCCAGGCAAGGTCGTCCCCCTTGAGTGAGCCTACGGTAGCCAACAGGCCAGCGCGTCCCCTCAAATGTCCAATGCGAGAAATCGCTCGGGACCTCGCTCTACCGGTCAAGGGCTCATCTTTCAGTTCCTCGACACGACCATCCCACTCCTCAAATTTTGACCTGCAAGCCTCCAACTCAGTGGGTGGCCACGATGCGACAAACTTGCTCGCTGTCAATCCTCGCAACTGTGTACGCAAGAAGCTCACATCAGTCGCAGGTTCAGCTCCCCTAGCCTTCACCTCAAACACAAGATCGTCCTTGAGCAGAAACTCGGGAATCAAAGAGCTAGCCATTCTGACACCTAACAAAAAAATTTGACACTTCTCAGACACAACGATGCGACGAATAACAATCACTAACTTCCTAAGACCTCTAATTCACAGATGAGAACACAACCACGGGGCCAACAATCAACATCAGCCTGCCACCAACAGGCCAAAAATCAGAATCATGAGACGACCACCAAAAACAAATAAATAACTAACAGACAAAGAACAAATGAACCACTATGATTAAACACAAAAATGCCATGTCCTCCTAACCTCAACAAATTTCATTTGAAAAAATTACCAACTTTATTTACTGCGCTCAAATTTTTTTTTCTACTACTTTAATCAAACTACTGCACAGTAAATTTGACCAACCACGCTCTGCTACCATTTGTAACCGAATACCCAACCCCATTGATCAAAAGGGTGAAGCCCTTGGAAGCGCAAAATCAATGGTGGGATTCCGGCACAATATTGCTGAGGTGGAGGACCAACAATGACAACACAAGAGCTGGCTGGACACAAATATAAATTTATTCATTTCAATATATATATATAAATGCAACAATAATAAATAACAATAATAAATAAGACATTGCCCTAGCCAAGATATAATAATTAAAGCTTTAAAAATATTTTAAAATTTCTTTAGTTAAAAAAAAATTTAATTTAAAATGGAAATTCAAGTTAGGCTTAAGTGACATTTTGTAAAAACATTTAGTGTACTATCTCAAACAAATTTAAAACAAGTTAGCTTAGGTGGCCACCTTATAAAAAGTCATTTAAGAACCATTAATTTAATACCTTTAGTCCTAGGCCTACATTAAAATAAATAATTTTTACATCTAAACGAACATGAAAAACATTTACACATATCAACAAATGTGGTCGCCTCGCAAAGCCTAATAATTATTTCCAAGCGGTTAAAATTAACCGTCAAGGGCAAAAAAGGTTTTACCCTCAATCAAGGGGTGTGAAACAGAATTAAAAGAAAAGGAATTTAAAATTTGAATAAAATATTAAGTAAGTAAATTTAGAGAGGAAAGACTAATTAGTTAAATTGCAGGTAAAAAGATTACAGATTTTTGTTATATAAGTTAAATAAAAAGCCTATGTTGAGTGAGATTTCTTCATGATGGATGAGACTCTCCAAATGGGCTGGACTGACCTGACCGTAAAACCTTGCTGGCATCCAGGTGAGTTAGCAGGAAGTAGAAGTAGGCCGAGAACATGGTGGCCGCTTCCCAGACACTGCAGCACGGTATTAGGCCGGAGTAGACATAGGCCTAGCTGTGTAGGTATCGCCATCAGTGGGTGGTGGTGCACAGTCAGTGGTGCGGCGCGGTCCCATCCGCCTGGGAGAAGGCTCATCGTGGTGCAGTTGTTAGCATTCTAATGGTGGCAGGTTTCAAGTGGAGTCGCCGACCCTGATACAAAGTATAGATCACTGACCTGGCCTAATTAAGGCTAACATGTCTCAGAGTCCATATATTTAGTTGGCACTAGGTATGAATAAATCAAAAGAGCGTAAAACATTCTCTTTACCTGCAGTCAGCGACCACATTTTTACAAAAGCTGTTCTAGTGTCTAGCCTATTCAAACATTGTTTTC